TGGAACACCTAAAAATATAGATAAATACAATATTTTCACACTTATTCATAGGTTTCATGCAGTTAATATATATTACATCTAATAAAAAATCACATTCTCAAAATTTATGAGAGCTTTCAATAGTTAAGAAATCTGAATACTTCTTATTATCAAACCCTAAAATAAACAAGACTAGCAAACATAGAACAATAAATCAAAATGACAAAAAGCTCTTCAATCCTCTGAGGTACTTCTGACAGCAAAAACCCAAACTGAAACCAACAAAATATAATCTTCCACACCTAAAGACCTATCTAAAAAGCTTTTGAACAGTCCAAACTATCAACACATGCCTCACAGTCAAATAAACTATTCAAAAAGCTTTTAAATTATCCAAACTATTAGCAAAAACCAAGTAGCCAACAAAAGTATTCAAAAATCATGTAAACTATCCAAACTAATAATACACACCAAATAGCCAACAAAAGTATTCAAAAACCTTTTAAACAATCCAAACTATTAGCACACACCAAATAGCCAACTATAGTATTCAAAAACCTTTTAAACAATCCAAACTATTAGCACACACTGAATAGTCAACTAAAGTATTCAAAAAACTTTTAAAGAACCCAAACTAGTAGCATACACCAAATAGCCAACTAAACTATTCAAAAAGCTTCTAAACTATCTAAACTATTAGAACACAAAGTAACCAACTAAATAATTCAAAAAGCTTTTAAACTACCCAAACTATTAACACATACCAAACAACCAACTATAGTATTCAAAAACCTATTAACAATCCAAACTATCAGCACACACCAAATAGTCAACTAAACCATTCAAAAAGCTTTTAAACAATCTAAACTATCAACACATACCAAACAGCCAACTACAGTGTTCAGAAGGCTTTTAACAGTTGATAATCCAGGTATGATTACAAAACGGTTAAATTTATTATATTTTTTAAAAAATTAAAAGCTGGCTTCAAACACATTTAAGAGAAATTTACTGTGATAATCTATCAACAAGTCTTCTCCAGTAGCTTGCCATGCATTGTTCTCAAGCACATTTCAATGGGATTCCAAAGTTAAAAACAACTAGTACATCGAAGTGATGTTTCTGTTGTTTCTTTATTATCTCTTTATTTTCATTTCACATCAAGTAATATAATTATTACCACACATACAGATCTAAAATTTGATAGTATATTAAAAAATATAAAAATGAAAGGATAACCCTTCCTGGAAAATCGTCTCACCAGACGAGTTATATCTACTAACTCGGGAAGCTTTCTTTTCATTTTTCTTACCAGCATGGCTGGTACATTTGTGAGTAAATTTTAGGGTATCTGAATAGTTTCAATAAACATGGCAATCAAAAAATATTTTATAATTAAAATATTCAAATTATTTTTTTTATAAAAGTTTAAATTTCTTAATTTCCAAAATAAATATCTAAAAAATTCTCTATTTTCCTTTTACTGTATCAAGAGACATGAATGAGCTCCTTTTTCTCAGCTTTAGAATTTTCTCACTTCAATAACTGGCTTCTACAGTTTCCAACCCATAAAAACACAAAATTACCAGCAAACATCAAAAATTTTTACTTCCTATCTTCTTGAGTTGCTGAGATATCAATAAAATGAAACCCACCAGAGAAGCCCCTTCCCTCTCACTCTGACTTTTTAAGACTGTTTGCTAATCAATCCTACATGACTGATGGTCATGTTCATAACCAATAAAAAAAGCAGATGCTCCTCTACATAAATCTCAGGAGTCGTCCTTTAGTTTATCCCACTGTAAAGCAGTAATCATCAAAATTCTTTTCTTGTGGTGATGATATTTTATTGCTCTAAGAACTTAATAAATTTTTTTAATCTATTTATAGCTTACTTAGAAAGCCAGATAAATAACATCCTATTCTAGTTAAGATTAGGACAACACCTGTATAAGTTTTACACAGATTATTAAAGAAATAAAGTCAATGTTTAATAGTACCAAATAAATATTTAAAATGAGACTGTTTGCAGTGACAAAACATAATAAAAATTGTTTTACTTAATAATTTTAATGCATAAAACAAAACACTGTAAAGCTGGGAACACTCAATCTGTAATACTGTAAACAGTCTCATACACTTCTTATGATCAATACATTTCTTACTTTTGAAAGCTACAAGAATAACTTTTGGGCATCCAAATTTGTGAGACTTGATGAAGCTTAAGGATAACCACCTATTCGAGTGTAAACTGCATTGAGTACACTGTGGGTATTTTGTGAAGAATATTTTTATACTAGCAGAGACCTGCAAAACATTTGCAGTCAAATTAGTATGTTTATGGAAACAGTACTTCTTTAAATACAGGATTTCTTGGACAATACAAAATAATTCTAATCACAGACACCAATATCTATAAAAGTCCACTTGTCTTAGGCCTAAGATTAGTTAAGCCTTTATTAAGTACAGCCTATATTCAATAGAGAGATGAATTAACACTGTAACTTGTGTTTGTTTTTTGCTTTAGTTAAGTTAGGACTAAACTTTACCATACTCAATACAACCAGTAAATAAACTTGTAATGTTATTCTATGCCCAACATTACACCTTTTTAAAAACTTTGATAAGCTTTAATATGTCGCTGTACAAAATGTTTACTAAAGTATACTTATATACACCTTTTGTTTACATATGTTGAAACGAAGTGTGCGTGCATGTGATTTACATAGTAAGGTACACACACATTTTCAGGACAGAAAAACTGATTATTAGAATAAATAAATAAATCCTTGTTTTTTATGTATATCTTCTACTTATTAATATACATCTTTTAAAAAAGTAACTAAAAATGTAAAAATTATAAACTTCTCAACTTAGCTTAACAAAACTTCTGTAAAATAAGATGTCTGTAATTACACTTTTTTGCCCCTATGTTACAAGATACCTCACAATTATGCAGTATTTAAAAAAAAAGCTAGTACCCAGTTGTCCATGTAATGATTAAAGCTCAACCCGAGAGCATGTAAGTGCCAAACGAACACTTTAACCACCCAACAAGAAACATATGGTGCCAAAGCAAGCCTGAAGAACAGTGCAAGAAACTGATAAATCACCCTGTGGTGAACAAACCGAAAATAGGGTTGTGACTGACTGAATATTGGGATATGCAAGTAAGCATTCGCGACATCCACCTTAGTCATCCACAAACCCAGAGAAAAAGCTCACCTGAGAATAAGAAACAACTCCATGGTAAAATGGGGAAGAATTTAAAAATGATTGAAGCGGGATAAATCTATAAAAGGAAACAACAAACAGTCTGGAGAAAGATGATGGAAGGTTTGATGGCCTGTTGAAACAGAAGGTCTTGTACTGCCTCAGACAGATGCTGACTGGAGGTATGATCCCAAAGCATGGGGAAGGAAATGGGTACCTGAGTCAAAGGAGGAGGGGGGGGAGAGAAATTGTAGGACAGATAAAACCCAATTAAGCAACATATCCGTGGCGAAAGGTCATCAAAGGGGTACAAATTTGTACAAGCGAGCTCCCACTGAGCTGGAATTCACCAAGTAGTCACTGGTACTGTTGGCAACGTGCCCATCTATATCGATTAAAACAACAAGATGAGGAACCTTTGGTTGAAGGGACAGGTAGAGGCTAAGAAGAACTAGGAAGGGAAACAGGAATAGGAGCTCGTCTCAGCTCCAACTGTGACAAACATGCAACCAAAGAGGAACAGGTAATATGTTGATGCACAGATTCCAGATATGATTCCAAAGTCTCAGGTACATTATCAAAAACATACTGCCAAAGAAAAGGAGCCATTCATAAATCCCTAATATAAGGGGGCAGTAAACAAACGTAGGACAAGGCCGTGTCTTGACCCAAGAGATCCCAACAACAGAGGAACCATGTGTGCAAAGCGAGAGCCGAAGACAAACTAACCAACGTGGACGTAATGAGGGAGAGACTTTTCCTCAAAACCTCTCAGGATCTCTGTGGACTGCCTTGAAAAGGAGATGGATAGTAGATAAATACCGTAGAAGGGAAGTAAAGATAAGACAAAGGCTGGAAAACTGGGTATGGGATAAATGCACAGGAAAAAATCAGAGACTGCCTCCCCACACAGGTAAAATCGACCACAACTGCTGAGAGTCGAGAAATAGACAGTCAGCCTGATGGTAAGCTAATGCAAACTTATCCATCACCCATGGAGGGCGAGGCATGCTGGCACCATCAATCAAATGTGAGGCAAATTGCTTAGCATGAACCCTAATATCCAGAGAGGGATGAAAAACTAAATACTGAGATGAGTAGGCATCATGCAACAAAGAAGGATGAGGATTATAAGAAATCTGAGAAATGGACAAAACATCTCATACCTGAGAAATCGTGTCTAAAAATGCTGTATTAGGCCTAGCTGATTCCACAGGTGGGGCACAGGAAGACATGGCAAAATCCGGTGATGTAAAAAGGCTATCAAAATCCTCATTGTCCTAAATAGGTTTGGCTTGTTCAGGAGGAAATGGGGCAAGTTCAGGAGAAGGAGGTTGACCCATATAACAATCAATCTCATAGTGGATAATGGTAGATAAGACCATTGACAGCAACCTGCGTGATAGTGCTAGTAGGAAGTAGGATACCCAAATTGGTAACATTAACCTCAGAATTCATAGTTGAAATGTAAATGAAACAGAAGTGTCTGATGTAAAATATGCGAGTGTGAAAAAAATAAATACTCGGGAATTAAGTTAAATTAAAAGATTTCTTAAATGTAAAGAAAAAATAATAATGAAGAAATCCCACTTTGAAAATTAAACTATCAAAAGCATGATTCACATGAAGAGCACCAAACTAAAAAATGTCTAAATAGAGTACTGCCAAATGAGAAGTGACAGTTCGGTAGAATTGAATAGAGGGAGTCACATGTGTCAAGAATGTGTTGCGCTCTTATTGGTAGAGGTATGTCGCATGATAATATGCATGCGAGACACAATGTAATTAGTCAATTCAAAGTGGGTGGGAGCTTCAAGGCTTGTGACATGCACTAAAACTTTTTTTGCATATAGAGGGCAACATTGAATGAGAATAGCTATTTGTATCATATAGGAAAATACATTTTAAGTCAAGAATATACAACAGAGCTGCTTGGGCCCAGGTATACTAGTCAGATTCCATTGAGCTATCTTAAAAGTGGAAATTTTTTCTTAATTTTTTTAAGGTAACTACCTTGCACACCCTTAAATGTAAATTAAGGATTAAAAATAATTTCCTTCACATAAATGTCAAGTAAGTTAAAATTTGAAATACTGAATATAGGAATACCTCTCTGTCCTTGAAGTTTGATTTCAGTTAGGTCATCTGTTCTCCATAGACAACTAGGTTTTATTGCAGGGCCCTAAAAAAAATAATTCAGCATTGAATACTAAGATAAATGTCATGTCAAGATTAATTACTGTTACTTCATTATGTATGTTCATACAAGTTAAAGATAAAAATTATTTTAAAAGAATAAGAGAATATTTTTCAAATGTTAGTTTCATCTTTTTTTTATGCAATACTCTAAACAGAAACTTAAGTCATCTTTTGAAAACATTTTCCTATTTAATTCTTTTTTCCTTCACTTTTTTTACCAATATGTAAACTCCAGAACAAAAAATACAGTGCATCTATATAAAAATAAACTGTCCTTTAAATTACAATTACAATATATTTGTGGATGTATGTCATGAACTTACCAAGTAGAATAAAACCGGTAAAATGTAAAGACTCGAATCCGCACAGGCAACCAGAAGCCATGATGCTGATGAATCAAAGCAAAGAGCTTTTATGGCTTTCTCACTTTGCTTAAACCATGGAATTTGTTTAATAACTGCCTTAGAAGTGATGGAAGAGGTCTGACGTAACAGAAGATAGCCTACATTACAGAAACAATAAAAGAAATTCTCACAGTTATCATTTCAAAAGAAAACATATAATATAAATTACATGATTAAAAGGTTATCAGAGTTTAAAATAAAGATCAGAATTTGCAAAAATGTCTAATGAAGTCTGGACAATTTGTGATACAATTCCATGTATAAATAGATTAAAAGCTTTAATGATATTATTTATATAGAAACTTTTGTTGAAAAGTACGTTAAATTATGCATGTTTACTAACTTAATCATAAAATTAAAACATTAAAGCAATTAATCATTATATTAAATTATGGTAGTAACAACAGTTTTAAGTACTGTACATTTCTTAACAATCAGGATGACGAATATTCATTAGTTCAATGCAATAATAAATGATATATTTCATATAAATGTTGCCCACATACCAAATGCTCCAAAATCTTGATACAAAATAATGCTTATTGTTATAAATAATATTAAATCAGTTTGATAATAACTTTAAATTCCCATGAATAGATGTGAATTAATAAAACCTTTGAAAACAGTAAACCAATTCTAGACCAATCAGGAAATATTTGTATCTAACATGATCAGTTAAAGGCGAATCATTCAAAATGTTTCCTTCTATTTGAATTGTCTTTCCACATGTACTCATCTGAAGTTCTCGATTTTCATAAAACCATCTGCACCTTTTAATATGTAAATATGAAGATAAAAGTCAGGATTTGGAAAATTTATTTAAACAGTTTTGACATATATCTAATTTCATATTTATATCATCTTTCAATAAAATACCACTTTTTCATTTGCCTTTTATCATGTTACTTTTAGCTACATCTACAGGTTTTTAGTTTTGATTTGTACACTGTAGGTTAAATACAGCAACATAATTAATGAAGTGGAAGTTTAATCATACAACAGTTTCTTTTCAATTGCACTGAAGTCAATCGAACAGATTAAGCAGCCCCAATATTCTGAAGTGCATAGCATACATAATAATGTTACATATATTGAAACTACTTCTTACATGTTATGAACATACTATAAACAAGCAAACAGTGCATTTATTTCAATCAAGAAATCTAAATTCTTTCACCATTCTTTCTTTGTTATTTTTCAAAATTATAATATAACTTTGTCTTTTTTTCTACCTCTCCAATTGGGTCCTTTTTACTAGTGGAATAATTCAAGGGTCAGTGCCTGAGCCTTTGCTCTTTGTTGTTCACACTAATGATACTGATAGGAAACAATTATTAAAGCTTTTTGATGACATTAAATTCTTTGGTGTTGATAAATGTATCAAGGATGTTCAGGTATTACAAAATGACTTGGATCAATACTCGAATTACATTTTATAATATAGATGGGAGCCAACTAAATACTGTAACTGTAAAAAGGTATTTTGCTATCGTGGTTGACAAGTCACTAAAGCCAGCAAAGCAGTGTACTAAAGCTAATAGGATTCTGAGGTGTATTTATAGACATAATGATTTTAAGTTAAGGAGAAATAATGGAAGGGTTATCTTTAGGGCTGTAACGAAGGGTGGATTTTGACTTGGGAAGGTTCAGAACATGCTACTGAACATAGGTTCAAACCTTCCATAATACTAATTTGCATAACTTACTGAAAATGTCACCATAACTACTAGTTTATAGTTAAACTCTTATTTTAATGGTAACTCATATAAATGAAATAAAACATTCACATTTAAAAATATGTTATATGCAATGGTAATCTTTTTATTTTAATCCAAGGTGCATGGGCTCAGTCCATTTGGCCAATTCCATATTGGAGAAGGAGGAATACTGACTATAATTCCAAATTTTCTAGATGAAATGTAGTGAGATTTTAGTAAAATGTACAAGTCTGTTGTACACAAAACATTAGAAGAGTTACAGAGGTATTTGTACTCAAGATATGTCTGTAACTTGATGACATCAGTCTGACTCCGATGAGTCAGAGTGCAAGGTGATGTTCATGTGAAGAATAAACATACTTTAACATAACTTCCAGATCTTCAGAAATGCATATCTATAATTTTGTTCAGTATTCCTGTAGATTGTATTTGGTACTTACTCTCCTCTACCACAAACTATTACTAAATCAGCAATGTAGGGTAAAATGAATAGTTAATAACTCTGACATCAAATACATAATACCATGTTGAACGGCACTCTGTAAAAGATCATGGCTTGCACACTTTGACCCCCACCCATACATATAGGATTAAATTAATTAAAAATATACTTGTTTAAGTACATTTACTTGATACTCCATGTAATATTCATATAGCTACATATAGTAAGCTTACATTACAAGATCATTCTATTGCAGCCAATTAACCTAATCACACCCATCTAATTCATTTTAAAGTACATTATATAATTCTTGTCATACATTCCAAAAATAAAACTAGGAGATTAAATTATTTGAAACTTTACAGGAACTTTCCTAAAAATATGTAGTTTCAGAACAATAAATATTTTAATTCTAATTTATTTAGTTTTATGCATTATTAGCTTTGAAATCTTGGAAAATTACATTAGGAAATGGTTTCTATAAGAAATAATTAAGATACTTACATTTGTTCCAGATTTGAACTTCTTACTTTTATGTTTAAACATATTTTTCTAAAGATGTCAAATAACATTTCATTGTTCTATAAAGTGTAAATTTTTAAATCACAATCTTTCCTTCTGTTTACAATTATTATACAAGAACAAAATAATATTTATAACCAAACCAAAACTATAAGCTAGTCTGCATTTTATATTCCTAGTTAGGGTTTCATCTGCAAATATTTAACAAATTTTAAACTTGCTTCATAAGTTTATTTATCTTTATTTCAAATTTGTGTTTGACTGTGCCCTAAGTAGGTTTATTAAGCATGTCTTTCTTCTCACTGACTCAGCATGGATGGATTAGAACATTACTGTAGAATTTAGAAATAATAGAACAGATATGCTCTTATGTGTTAAAATACTTGAATACAACTTTTATTGACCTTTAAAACAAGCTTATTTTAGCAAATATTCTTACATACAGTTTTACGATGCAACATACAACTTTACTCCTAGAACTATAGTATAGTGAATATATTTCAAAGTCACATTACAGAAAGTTTGGATAACATCAATCTATTCTAGTTACATAATATATACCATATGAGTACATCAAAGTCAACAAACACAATAATTTACAAAGTGACTTTACAGCAACTAAAAATATTAATTTAAGTTATGTATTGCTTATTATACCACTACCAGTTTAAAGAAATATTGGAATTAGAAACTCAAGCTCTCTTCTTTGTATTCCTGACCCTGCAATAGAGCTAATAGTACTAGTGACAGAGTAATAGTAATAATATGCCTATCTGTTTGAAAGTTAAAATTTCAACAATATATCACCAGTTTAATACTTACCATTGTTACAAACTAATGCAAGAATGCCTCTATTTCCATATTCCCCATATGTACTTAGGATAACTTCTGTAATATCATCTCTTGAATAGCCAACAGAAAGTGTTTTACACAATTCAAATAAAGGGAAAAGTGTCATCTCCAATGGACAGAACGGGGTTGAATATCAACTTTAAACTAAAGGGTTTAATTTTTCCTTTCACACATGATTGTAGATTAAAACGTGATCTACTTGACCCAGTGTGGACAATAAAGAATTATGAAATGCATTTAAAAATTAGCACAAATACCGTAAACTTAAGTCCTCGAACATTATGCTACCACTTTACGCTAAATTTGGATATCCAAATTTCACTTTAGAATCGCTTAATCAACTGGCCTTTACGCTTAACCTCAAACCAGGCAGATTTCTAACTTATACGCAAGTATGATAGGTAGCGCTACCATCACGATAGTAACTCACTATGCCTTTTTTAATTTTATTGTCTTGTTGTAAGAGATATTGTAAGTATGATTTTTTTCACAAAAACTGTTTTTTTAAAAAATATATATTCATATGTATATTTCTAACTGATTTCTTTATTTAATTAGTGTAAAAACGGATACTAAAATTTGAGTGTTACAACTGATCGTACTAAAAGTAAAACCAAAACTGTGTTTACTCTATTTTTAAAGTATATAATTATAAACTATGTAAAATGATCAAAATCCTAGTAATAGTATAACTTAAGGTTATAAGTTATAGGGTTTTTATCGTTTTATGTTAAGACTTCTTGAACCTACGTGTTTTTCTGACATCATGAATTATCAACTATATAATATTATTATTACTATTAGTAAAGAATTTGTTTTTTCTGTTTCTAAGTTCTACAACTTCCAAATTAAGACTTGGTTACATAAGTATTACTATTAGTAATAGTAATAGGATTTTAGCCTTTAGGTTATAATGTTACTCATTGCAAATTGTAATTGTATGGGTCATTGGTTAGGACGCATTTGGACTTGGAGTATTGTATTCGGTCATGGGTGTCTTACTTTACTTTAGCCTAGGAAGGACATCTAATTGTTTGAAAGGGTTTATAGGTGGGCTTGTAGGATGATAACTCATTAATTGGGATGAAAAAGTTGTCATATATAGACAAGTTAAATATCTCAGAAATTGTTTTCTCTTTTAAAAAGAATAAATATACTTCAGAGGGGATTTGATTGAGGTGTTTGATATGGTTAAGGGAACTGTTAGTGTCAAAGCATAATCTTTTTTACTTAATAACGGTAGGACTAGGGAACACAAGTATACATTTTTACAGGATAGAAGTCATTTTCAGTTAAGACAGTTGTATTTTTGTAAAGGATAGTTTGACTTTGGAACAGGGTACCTTCAGGTGTGGTGGAAGCAGTAAATTTAAGGGGAAACTTGATAAATATTTGAATAATAAGGGCTTTTTTTACCAATGTATAGGATATCTTAGATGGGCTAACAGGTCTATTGTTGTCCTTATATGTTATGTTTATTTTTGGCAACCACATTTTAGTTAGTTTTAATATATGTCTTCTTTTTAATTAAGACTATAGGATGTAAACGAATAAATCTTTTGTTTATTTTTCAGGTGAATGGTAAAGTGGAACAAAAGATATAAAAATTGGATGCAAATTCATAGATATGAACTAAGGATATATGTTGCTGCAGAATCTCGAAGTGCAGCATTTTACTCTGAATAAAGATATGTAAACAGATAATAATAGTAAAATATTCGTACTGACACTGACAGCCAAAGAAATGTTTTTATTTTCTTTAAAAGGAGCATTGCTTTAGGTGTATCTAGCAAAGAAATATTAAAATAGAGAAAAATTATATTTATATACAGTATTCTGATCCAATAACTTGTATGTCAAAAATGAAACTGACTTTAATCTATGGAGCTTCCAGTCCAACCATGGCAACTAAAACTTCAACTTCATTCAGTGACTACTATTTATATGGGTCTAACATTGGCAATAGTACTTTATCACCAGCTGTTATAGAAAAGGAAGACATATGTAAATGGATCTTGTACGATGAAATAGGAAACTCTAGGTAAGTTATATTGTTTTTATTTTCATGCATGTATATATATACATATATGTTATAAGAGAACATCAGAGAAAATAATGTGACAGATCTAGCCAGTTAGTCCATTAAGGTCACCACTTAACTTCAAAAAAAAAAGTATGTTATATATATATATTTCAAATTAAATATTGTCCTTTAAATCCACATGCTTATCTACAAAGTTTAACATAACATATGAGTGCAAACAAAGGGTCTCTTGTCCCATTGTCACTTCCATTTCATCAAATATCCATCTTCTTTTATCCTGCCTTGATTTTTTCTATTACTTATTAAGCGTCTCTTCAGTTTTTCAATCCTGTTGTATCTACCATGTCTGCAAGGAGCAACCACCCTGTTTAAAAAAATAAAATTGCCTAATCTGCAAATGACTACCATTCTGCCAAATCTTAAATCCCATTTATTCTCTTTTTAATTTTAAATACTTTGGTCAAATATTCTTTAAGTTTAAAAAAAAGAAAATAATTTTAAGATCCATAACCTGTCCTCATGTGATAGCCCTTGCATCGTGGGAATCATCCTAGTAGCCATCCTTTCCTTTGATCCCCTTCCAACAACTCAATATCCTCCTTAAGGTGAGGAGCCCAAAACTGAACACAAAAGAATTTCAAATTAACACTACAAAACCATGTAAACCATTCCACAAGTTTACAATTAAACAAAAAAATATTCTTTAAAAACAACTGTGTAACTAATCTTCTAAAGCTTTAGCCTCTAATATTCAAGTTTTCTTCAATCTTTTCATCCTTTCATAATGAGACCACAGCTGCACCCATTACTCTAAATGTCAGGACCATAGGAAGTGGTAAGGCCAGTCAAGCTATAGCCCAACCACTTTTTCATGGCATGTATAGCTACAACCTATGTATTAAAACTTGCTTCTTTTAATTCAGTACATTACGTTGTGTGTATGCAGTATTTTTAGTTAAGATGGCTCAAGATTCAATCTCATAGCATTAAATTTTCAAAACTTTTCTGGGGAGGCATGCCCCCATACCCCCTAGAAATGGCAATGGCCTGACCACTACAAAATTGCTTCCTGCAGCAATGAAAGTGGCCTTAACATAATTTAATTCAGTGTCGTAAAAACATTGTACACTGTACTTAAAATCACAAATCATGTCACATTTACGATAAACACCCAGCAGACAGCTTTACTGTGTAACCCATGTCCATTATTCATTGGAAAAGTTCATACTTTTAAGGCATTTAAAGAAAAGGCCATTCTGTCATAGATACTGTTAGACTTAATTTTGCAAGATGTGATTTATAAGTAAGTCACTAGGGCTGAATGCTAGGCTTAGATTTAGATGTGATGATGAGCAGATTGGCAGGTTTGTTATGTGGATCAATCTGATAGAAAAGGGAAGCTTTTTGGGAATGAATGGTTTACATTTAGATTTTATATGAGATAGCTTGTTTGCAAGGGCTATTAACTCAATTATAAAGGTAAACTTAAACTAGGAATAGACAATGAAGAAAGCTCTGATAAACTAGATATAGAGAAAAGTGCAGTGTAGAAGCAAAGTACAGAAATAGTTTTAAGGATACAGGCTAAATTGTTACTACTGTTATACTAGAAGTATAAAAAAATAGATGAGTTTATAGCACTACTTGAAATAGAAGATTTTGATATAATGGGAGTAACTGAAGCTGGGTCAGAGGTAAACAATTATAGGTTATTTACTAAGGATAGTGTGAGTTTACATGCTTCTGAAGTTGAGAATATTAACGATGATAGGAAGAAGATCGATTCTATTTGGGTTTCTGTTAGTGGATATGGGGAAAGAAGGCTTTAGTTGAAATTCATTTAAGACCACTAGATAAAAATGATGAAAATAATAAACTTTTCAGTGAGATTAAGATTTGAGCTGTTAATGAGGTCAAAATTATAGAGGATTTTAATTACAGGTATATAACTTGGGAAATACTGAGGTTAAACCAAGGCAGGTTTTTTAGAAATTATTGAGAATTATCAGGAATAATGATATTTTTGTTACAAAACTCATAAAGGTAAGTTTTAAAAGGATGTGACAATAATTATCTGTTTTGAATTGGGCAATCAAATTAATTAAAGATGCTGATAAAATGTGCAAAATTTTGAATGTTCAAAATAAGCATATTCCCCATAAAAAAGAGGGGAGGGGCAGCTTCAAATGAAAAACCAGGTTGGCTCACAAAGATTACAAGGGAAAAAATTGATGAAAAGCATTATAAAAATAATAAGTTTCAATTGACTGCTATGATTGGAGACTTACATGTAGAGGATTATAGAGGACTAAGAAACTGGTCAAACAGGTGTGCTATAAAAATAACAATAAGGATTTCTTTAAATACATTAAGGGTAAACAAAATGTTAGAATGGAGGTAGGACCCTTGATGGATGGTAAAGAAAGGCTCATATCTGATGATTACGAGAGGGCTGGTTTACTAAATTCTACATTTTCTTCACTTTTTACAAATGAAGATTGAAGCAGCATTCCCCATCTTGAACAGTTGATAAATGGACACATGGCCAAACAAGATGATCACATTAATTGTGAGCTTGTTAAGAAAAATTGAAAAGTTTAAAGAATAAAAAACTTGTTAGAAATGGAGTTTGGTCAAACTGGATTAATGCCACAAGGGGGTACATGACGGCTCATTGTTCTTCTCGATTTATATTAGTGGCATAGATGAAAAAAATGGTCAATAAATTGCTTAAATTTGGTGTTGATTAGTAAGTAGATCATTTAGCAAAGTCCATCTTTTAATTTTTTGCACTTCCTTTCAACTGAGCTCAACTAAAGCTGCAGGCTACAAGCAGTCCTATATTTTCTGCTTTTTATGCTCTGGTAAGTTTTAACTGTAACAACTGTTTCCTAAAAATAATTCTTTATGAACAAGACAAGAAAAGAGTGAAAAAAATAAGTTTCATATAAAAAGATCTTATAACCAAATAGACAACAGGTCTTTTGTTGTCTTGAGTGTTGCTTCCGATAAGGTCGTATCTTCTCTCACACACAGGAATGTCGAGAGCCAGCATGGGCCCCGTGGCAAACATCCTTGCCGGGCCCCCTTTCTCTCTCTTTTTTTTATTTTCAAGAATTTATTGAAAAGAAGATCCTAAATTAGGACAGCAACGAGCTCATAAACCAGTAGTTCTTAATGTATCAAGCGTCTATATGTAAAGAAAAGTAAAAAACTATGGTTTTTATCATTAAATGAAGCTATAACCTAAAGATGCTTTGCAGCATAACCAGGTTTCATTCGCCCAGGCACTTGGGCAGTTGCTCCCCCCCCCCTGTCACGGGCCTCTCACACAAAACTATCTTGATCTTTTTTCTGCTCTCTAAGCATAGCTAAAAAAAAATGTTCTTGCTCAGAGCACTAGTCTATATACCCCACCAATTTCTTGCCACTATTGAACATGTGGATATTCTCCAACATTTGTATTGTGCCACCTATATTGGTACAGCTAGCTCCCTCTGCTATTCCCACTCAATCCTCACTTTCTCAATTGGCACTACATTGTTTAGACTTGTGTTTTTTTGTGTCTGGCTACTGTTTCTGATTAAGTTTCTTTGTCATTTAAAAACGCTTTTTTTTGTTCGACAGTTTTCAATTTCTGTGCTTGCATTCAATCGTTTAAAATTTTGTTTTTGCATTTATTTTTTGTTCCAGAATTCTAAGTGAACTTAGTATGAAATTGAGATTCAGTGTATTGAATATGGAAGTTCCCATTACAATTGACAATGCTACTAGTACAACTTTCCAGGACACAAGTTCGACTTTATCTGCAAAGGAGGTACAGGCTTTTAATTGGCATGGAGCTAGATTCATATGTTCGGACAGTGATTTCTTCTCCTTTTCAACCTAACGATGCTTCTGAGAAAGAATACAATCAGGGAGAAGACAATTTGGACTCTCTCTTTTTCTGGTACCTTCTTATTTTGGTCAGTCATAATCTACACCTCTTTAAGATATTTTCCCCTATCGTTTATGATACCTCCCCTTCCTTATTGGGGGAAATTCCTTCTCCTAAATTTTGTTTTTCCCCTTCACCCGACATTAGGGTTCATGCACAAAGATTTTTGGACTAATTTCAGTTGGGTGTTGGTATGCCTCGTCTCTACCCCACCTTCACTTGTTGGACCAACATGCTTTGACTTACAATTGCTCTTCAGATCCATATTTTGATTCTCAACAATTGGATTCTCTGCTTCCTTTTTGGGGTTTGAATCTGGGAGTGACTGTTAATTTTAATCAAGCTCAATTCTGAAGGATTTGCCTTTCTCTCTCTCTTCCCTTTTACATTACCTGTCTTCCCTCCAATTACTGTCAAAGGCCATTCGTTGCTCCCCTAAACATTTTTCAGATTAACTTAGGTCCCTCCTTTGGTCCGTTATGGATCGTTTATCTGCCTCTGCCCTTTCCATTATTACCTGGCTTATGTGATGTTGGGACTTTTTGGGGAAAGATGCATTACTTGTGTGGGTGCATCTCCCCCATTCATCCCTGCAGGATTTGCATCAGGCTCCCTTCCTACGCAATACCATATTTTAAGGTCGTCCTGATTCCTTGGAATCCAAGATTGATATGGCTAGATTGCATTCTTACTTGTCTGGTCACATGTTTATCTCACTCTCTCTCTTCCTCCCATGAGTCGCTTATCCTATCATTCTTCTTCTTTGCCCAGGCCCTTGCCTCACTCCCAGTGCTCCCAAACATATCCTTATTATTCCTGCACCCTGCTGACCAATGCCAGCATTATAGGTGATGCTACAGAGGCTTCAGGACTGGTGGGGGTCAGATTGCTCCACTTTTCTGCTGTGTGGCAGCATTTGATGACAGATCTGTGGGTTCTACTAATTTTGTTAGGAGGTCTCTGCCTTCTGTTCCAATTCCCACCTTCTCTTTCCCATTTCCTTATTTCCTTCCCACCCCCAAGGGATCCTATATCTTTCAGTCATCTTACAAAGGCTGTCCACAACCTGCTTCACAAATAAGCTATTGAATTGCTATGCCTTACTTAACTTGGGTTTTATTCCCATGTCTTCTTGGTCCCTAAGAAGATGGAAGATTAGAGACCTATCATTGATCTGTCCTGGATGAATTCCTTTCTGGACCCCACACACTTCACTATGAAGCTAGCTATATCTCTCTCTCTTCAGTGAGTGTTTTCCCTAGGACTCTGGATGACCAAATTTAATGTGATGGGTGCCTGGCTTCATATTCCAATTGCTCCCAAGTCACGTTGTTATCTTTGATTTGCCCACAAGGGTCAGGTGTACCAGATCAGCGGCCTTCTTTTTGGACTAATCTCGGCTTCTTATGTGTTTTGTTGGGTGGTACAATCTTTTCCCGGCATCTTCATTCTATGGGTCTTCACACTCATCATTACATGGATGACTAGCTCCTGTTCGCTTCATCTAGTTCACAGTCCAGAGACCACATTAGTCTGCTCCTCCAAAAAGCAGCATGGGTGGGATTCCTGATAAAGGTGGAGAAGTCTGTTCTTATCCCACTCATACCTTATTAATTTGGGGGTTTTCTTCAGTTCCAACCTCAGTTGAACCCAGCCTTCTCCTCTTTGTTCATGGAAGTATTTTTAGAAGGTTAGGGTGATTACCCCTACTCTAGGGAGATTTCCAGTCTCTGGTTGGTCAAGGAGACTTCTCTCCATATCAGCATTCTTGAATGTATGGCGGTTTGTTGAGCTTTGTCCCACTTCCTTCCTCTCCTGCAGGGGATGGTTGTCATAGTACACTCCAACAACTCCACAGTGGTCACTTATATCATCAAGCAAGAGGCACCAAATCAAGGTCTATGTGCTTTCAGACCCTGGATCTCCTTTTCTGGGTCCACAGTAATCACATGACTACTGGTGGCTTCCTCAGTGGTATATATATATATTTCTAAATATCCATCAGTTTTACACAGTTGTAGACTGTCACTCATGGACTTTCATGAGTAAAAATTTTTTTACACTGAAAATGTATTTCCATTCCACCCCACTGCCAGTGTTATTCTTTTAGATCCTGCCAATTCTCGAAGGTGGGGATTGAGAGGAAATAATAGAGGGAGCTAGTTGCACCAATATAGGTGGTGCAATACGATTGTTGAAGAGTAGTCACATACTATGTACATATTCAATAGTGGTGCGAAATTGGTGGGTTATATAGACTAGTGCACTGAATGGGAAATTTTTTATTTTAACTATGCTTATAGGGCAAAAAGAAGGTTGAGATAGCTTTGTGTAAAAGGATGTAAGTACCTCTCGGAAATACATTTTCAGTGTAAGAAAATGTTAACTTCTGCTTTACAAAAGGGTTTAGAATTATTGAAGATGTGTCTAAAGAGGTTATGGTTCCATTGTATAGGTCAATTGTTAGGTCTTGTTTAGAGTATTGTGTTCAGAATTAGAGAGGATCTGATTGAGGTGTTTATTATGGTTAAGGAAATTAGTAGTGTTGAAACATAATCTTTTTCATACTTAATAGTGATAGCAGTAAGACTAGAGGACACAAACATAAATTTTGGCAGAGTCGGAGTCATTTTTAGTTAAGACAGTTTTATTCTTCCTACAGGGTGGTTGGTCTTTGGGATGGGTTGCCTTCAAATGTGGTGAATGCAATAAATTTAAAGGAGCTTAAGGGAAGGCTTGATAAATATTTAAGCTATAAGGACTGACCTGAAGTTTTTTTTTTTATGTTTAGTTTAGTGGATAGGACATTCTCAGTGGACTAACAGGCCTTTTGTTGCATTGTAACTAGAGCTGAGCAATCAGTTGAATTGCTCATCGGTTAATCAATGGGCTCATTAATGAGTTACACTAACTAATTATTTATTGCATCATAAATGTAAAAAAAAAAAAAAAACGGCTACACGGTGATAATCATTCAAGTAAAACAGTCAGGTTTCAGTACTTATGGTGGGCAAAGCATGGACGATCTATTGTGTAGCTTTGTGCTTAACAACAAACGTAGTAAATGACAATATTTTGATTACTTAGATAGTTGGGATAATAATAATTGGAAACCCTAATCTTGATTATATAATTAATAATTAGATAATTATATTCATGAGTCTTGACACTAATAAATTAAGCTGAACAAAGTTGAATTGATAGAAAATAACAATGAAAGATCATTATGTCAATATTTAAGTCACTGCGTAGTGGGAATAATAGAAAATTTTTGTGACATTAATTGATTTAAGCATAATTTCAATTAATCAATTGTTGGAATGAACAGAGATACTCATTCTGACTAGTTGACAGTTTTTGTGAAGTTAATTGATGTAATCATAAGTGCAATTAATCAGTTATTTTATGTCACAATAATTAATGTAATCACTGCTCCTAGGAAATTGGTTTAATAGCTCAGTTCTAGGTGGAACCCATGTATATTATTATCCATTATGTAAATTCATACTTTCAGGGTGTAACAAACCATTGTCTAGTTTCGTGTTTATGAAATTTTAAAAGCTACAAAAAGAAAATTAAAGTAATAATAAAATAGATGTGTGGTATCATGTGAAGTTCAACAACTATATTTTGTGCTGATATTTTATGTTTTTATCCAAAACTGGCTACACTATGTATTTTGTAGTCTTAAAACTTGATTTATCATTATGATAAAAAGATCAATGTTTCACATAATTACTTCATTATATATTTGTAGTATATGTATATATATATGTGTGTGTGCACCATTTGGCCTTCCTTGAAGCATGTAACGAGCAACTAGAAGTTTCATGGACTGTGATGTACATAAATAGGTGACAATAATGTTATACTATCTAGAATTTTAATTGTGATTAGGAACACTAATTTACTCTAATTGTATCAGAGATATGTTAATCCTGTATGTTAAGACAAAGGATTAAGGAGAGGAATTTAAGTCTAATAAAAACTTTAAAACGTGTTATACATATTTTTTTGTGTAGATCCAAATGGATTATAGCTCCCTGGATTGTCAAGTATTGATTACTGTCGTCTCCATGACACGTGATCAATAACAGTCACTCTTTCAAATCTCATACTCAACCTGATGATGACCTAAGGAGGTTGAAACGTTGTTATTTGTTTTGTACTTTTCAAATAAAAGTTTTCTATACCCGTATTGGTCATGTCTACTATATATATAAGTGTTTCATTGGAAAAGTGTGTTTTCATGGCCACTTATTTTACGTATATTACTGTAACGGAATCAGTTCTACATATTTGTTCATAACTGTGTATGGGGGACTACAGGGGAATGTTTTTTTCAGATGAATGTTGTTACATGTACAGAAACAAGTTGATAAGAAAACTTGCAACATGTTAAGACATTTCTAAAGAGTTTTAGATAAAATAATGTAACCATGATGACACCAGCATGTGAGTAAATTTCTGATGATTTAATACTGTGTAAAGACACCAAAATGTTGTTACTATTGTATATAAACCACCAAAAATGAAGATACAATTAAAAGTATGTCTAATTTTCTTGAAATGAACATATATTGGGAAAAAAAAGGTAGTATGATTTTTCATTCATTAGACACGCTCGTGTTCCCTCCATTGTTCGTGTTAATTGTCAAATGTCAGTTTTTCTTCTTCTACGCCACAGATTTTTGGAAGGAGCTGTATATGCACATGTAGCTACTGATGAAAAAGAAGAATATTCATTTTTGTAGAAGCAGCCTAGTATAAAGAAACTACTAATTTAAATTTACATGTGCTGATAAAATGTGCTATATGTAAATTAGACCATTTTTATTATGACAAAATGAAAATATTTTTAGGGTTAATTCACGTATTGATTTAAAATTCATTTTAAAAAATTATACTTTAAATCATAAAGCTCAAGTAATTAAAAATGCAACTATTAAATTCAAAGAAATAATATTCATATAACATGGATATGTTTATAGAAGTAGTAAGCATATGTAGATGCATGATATAGATTTTTTTTTCTTTTCTAGTGTTCGTATTTGGGATTTAAGTATACTTATTCCAAATCTTTTATTCCTGTTATTTCTTGCACTTCGTTTCGACCGAGCTCGACTAAAGTTGCGGGCTACAAGCAGTCCTATATTTTCTGCTTTTTATGTTCTGGTAAGTATTTACTGTAACAAGTATGTTATTAAAATAATATTTTTATAAACATTTCTAGAATAAGAAAAGGGTGAAAAATAGATTTCATATAAAACGACCTTATAACTAAAGCACTTATGGAAAATAGTAAGACAAGTATATGAAAAAATGACCATATTTGAAAATGTTTAAATACAGTAATTTACGTGACTTTATTGTAACAGTAAGCTATTGTGGCATGAATTAGACTTTTATCTCCTCTCTCTCCTCTTGGCTACCACTTGCAATTTTCTAACCTCATTCAGATCTCATTCTAAAAATAATTTTTACATGATACCTAATGTGATTCATAATCTCTATTTTAGAATGTTCTGACCTCTCACTACTTTTTATATTTCAATATCTGTACTTCATTAGCACATTTTATCTATTCATCTTTATATTACAGTAAGTAATTCTAGCAAATTTATGGTTAGTGTTGTAGTTTTGCTTGTAAAAATTAGAAGGTACTAGGATAAAATTGTTAGTACACATTTAAGAAGGTAGATTTGTATATTATTACTGACAAGTATCAATACACACCTTTCAGTTATGTAAATTGCAAGATTCTGAGTACAGGAGGTTACTATAATAGTGATTAACAAGATTTTTCTACTTGCTGGTTCTGTGCCAGGTTTTCCTTAGGGTTTGGACTATTCATTGCCTAACTGGTTAGTGCACCAGGCTGTGAATCTGAGAGTCTATGGTTTGTGTCACATTGCCACAAAATCACGCACTTTGGGGCAATAGATGTTTTATAAGAGTGATAATCAAATCAAATATTTAATATGAGTAGCCCAAGTGTTGACAGTGGGTGCTGTTGACTGACTGTTTTTCCTTTAGCCTATCTGTTCAAAGTCAAGGACAGCAAGCACAGATAGCCTTTTATAGCTTTGTGCAAAAATCTGAAACAACAATTCTCAGAGTTTTTTCGTCCCCCGGTGGGACAGCAGTAAGTCTTCGAATTTACATTGCTAAAATCTGGGGATAGCCCAATGTGGCTTTGCTATAAGAAAACACACACAGTCAGAGTTCTTCCAAGTCTCGGATAGTTGTCTTGAGGGATTTAACCCTTCACATCCATTCCTGGCTCTATTGCGCAAGTTGCTTGTCAATATGCATTGCGCCAACTTGTTGTTAGACTATTGTCCTCTATCAATAGGAAGATGATACATCCTCTATGTGCAGTAATCCCCATGGTCTCTACCTTGTGAGCACATGCTCATTCTTTCTTCAGCACTGTTTGTCTTCAAATATGTCTTTTTTCCCTTAGGATTGAACAGAATTTTTGCACTCATTGTTTTAACCTTTCAACACTGTTCATTGTGTAGTCTTTCTTTCCCTAATTTTCTTGATCATATTGAAGAACAAGGTGGGTGAGGGGTATTTCTTATACATAGGAATCTTGAGCTGATGCAGCTCTTCAACAGTCATCATTGCTCACTTTAATTTCTTGTTCTTGAGACCAGGAAGCCCCACCAGATTTCTCATTATATATGGCCTCATGGAGTTGCTTCCTTGCCTGTTCCTTGACCTCTTTTAACTGTCCATAGTTCTTCTCTTTGAGTGCTGATTATAATGGATCTTGGAGGTAATTTGTTTTTTGAATCATCCCTCAACTCTAGTCCTCTTAGACCTCTTCTCTCCAATTTTGTCCAATGGTGGACTCCCTTTGCTACAGTCTCCTTGTGGGACAGCAGTAAGTCTAAGGACTTACGATGCTAAAATCCAATGTTTGATTCCTCATGGTGGACATAGCAGATAGCCCAATGTGGCTTTACTCTCAAACAAACAAACCATTTTTACAACCTATTGAGCTTCTCAGGGGTTTTTCTTGTACTTCTTCTCTCCACCTCACCTGTTTCAAATACCATAGGACAATTTCTCTACTCCAATTAGGAGTTTTACTCCCATCTTTTTATCATTCCTAGGAAGATGAAAAGTAGTTGGCCAGATAACAGTCTTTTCCACTTCACCCAGCTTTTGTTGTTTTCTGACAGGTAGTTTTCTCACCCTTTGGTGGGTACTTTCTTTAGTGGGAGATGACGTATTTCAGGGTCTCAGACATTTTTACCACATCCAAATTAGTCTGCCTACCTTTCAATTTCTTTGGTTCATAAACAATATTCAAACATTTGGTTCTCAGTCCTTCCCTTCGAGTGCACTATGGCCCCCATCATTTTTTCATTGGGTTTGGTGGGTTTTTAGTTGGGGTTTACATTCTTGGTGCCTGGTGCTCCACTACTCTATGGATGTTTGGTCTCTATTTGTCCTTTCCAATGTCACTTTGTATTTTTGAGTGGCTATTTAAATTCTCCATTTCAGTCTCAACCCCACTCTGTATTTCATTCACTTGAGGGTCTCTCCCACTTCAAATGGGGAACAGGCTCAGTCTACTTCTTTGCCTAAATGACACAGAGCTTTTGATACCAGGGCTCTTTTGTCTCCTTCATTTTCTGAGCGAGTCTTTTTTTCGGTACTCTTTTTCTCTTGAGTCCCTCATTCCTCTTGGATGTGCCCATACTTGTCTCCTTCAGTGGTTTCTGGCCTGTCAAGGCAGGTATCACTTGAGACACACTGTCTTTTTTTCACCTCTTGAGGTTGTGGTAGCTCACTCAGATACTACACAACCCTGGGTGTTCCTTTTCCCTCACCTACCCATACTTGCATCTATGTGGAACCCTCCAAAGCTCAGAAGTCAATCTGTGGGCTCCTTCCATATATGTATATATATATATATGTGTGTGTGTGGGTTTCCATATCCACGGTAAACATAGCACACATGGCTCTTTCCCTGTTTTAGTAGGGTGCAGTTGAGGATTCTTGATCCATTTCGAACATCTGGTCTGCAAGGGAAAGATTTCTCTGTCTCTTACATCTATAAGCTTGTGACTAATCTGCAGGCTTGCCATCATCTTTTGTTTCATCTGTCTGGTCTTCTTATCATGATTCATTCTGACAGCTCTTTTTTTTTTCCCTTCCCTCTGACAGGGCAGCACTCACTCTTGAGACCTCTGTTTTCCTAGATCTGGACTTTCTCTTTTGGGACCATACCACATTCAGCTGTTGATTTATCATGTCTAGATAGCACAAGTCCTGGTATCTTATTTGGGTCTGGGCCTCTCCTACTATGTGATTTCTTCATCATCTTGTGTTTTCAGTGGATTTGCTCCCATTATGGACATTCCATCATCACTGCTTTTCCATCTCTTCTCTACTCCTCACATTCATCCACTTGGTATCCAATTCCAAACTACATCAGTTTCTCCTGTATGAGATCTTGCAGGTGGGGGATTTTCATAATCCCAACACGTAAGTGTCTCATTTCTCACACCTCGGGGAGGTTTCACCTACCCTAGCTGTTATCTTCCTCTAGTTACCATTCTCCACTCTTCATAGTAGCTCTGATATTGAGTTGTTTTCAGGTCTCACAACTACCTTATTCTAACTGTATATATCTGGAGACAATGGAATCCACCAAATGGCCAGAGTTGCCTCAAAGGAAGTACTTACCCAAAATCTGAATCGAGTAGAAGATTACAGAAAGTATTATGCCATTCACACCTACTCAGTGCTTGCTGTTGAGATGGGGTTTTCAGCAAGACTCATTCTGCAATGTCTGTATGTATTCTATCTTCCAGGCCATTCTGCACTTATGAAAAAAAAAACTACAGCACCTGGTGTGTGCCTGCCCTCACACCTGGCTTGTGCCTGTTGGCAATGATCCCTACATCTTTCCATTGTTACCCCCTCCATGAATCCCCCCACAATTATTTTAGCCTTTCCAGTCCCTAGCTGCTCTAGAAGTTGATATGGAGAGTTCCTCATTGGTTGGTCCAATCCTACTGGTATGAAACTGAGTGGATGCACCCCTCATTTGGCAACTAGAGCTGGGGTGTTACCTAGTTGCATAGTACAGGACACCCTGCTATGTTACAAAATAAGCCATTCTCAGTGGTTATGTCCAGCAGGATGATTCTTGGATTCACCTCTATACAAAGGCCTGGAATGCTATTCCCAGCATCTGATTTGTGTAGTAATAAGCACCTCATGTAAATATTTCTCCAATATAAAACAGTCTGACTTAGAGCCCTAGCCACTCTACACCATGGGGCACATCCATTATTTTCCCCTCATTCTGTTCATCAGGGAGATGGAAATTCTAATATATTGTGGTTAGGATCACTGTCCAACCATTTTCTCTCCCATTGGGATGTGCTCCTCAACTTTCTGCCTGGATCTGTCACACCTTTTCCACATCTAGGTCAAGAGTAAAGCTGGTACAGAAGTGGTGCGGTCTCTCTCATATAATCCTCTTATTAGAGGGTGTCCTTTGGATGCTACTACTTTCTCCTTTGCGCTGATCCCTCCACCTATTAAATGTGGGATTCTAGCTATATGTGTGAGCAGAAGTAAGGTACGTTATCGGAAGTTATAATTTTCCTACACTGGAAATTTATTTCTAACAGGTTCTTTCTTCTGCTCACCCTTCCTCCCCCACTGTCAACTGGTGCTTACGTTTCTGCTTAAACTCAAAATGATAGTTAGATAGAATAGCATAA